AACCTCTGCCAAGGCCCAACAGTTCCCTTATGAAACCACATTTAAATTCACTAGATCCAGATTTTTGGGGGGATCTGCACGCAATTGCACACACTCATAAATATCAGTCCTCAAAACATGCCTGAAATTTTTCTCCAAGATCCACGAATGATTCTCTGTGAAATTAAGGAAAAAAATATTGCTCACGATCTCAAAATACTTTATTAAAGAAAGTGGTTTTTGCATAATCCTGCCAACTAACAGACAAACAAACAAATGCAGACAAAAACATAACTTCCTTGGTGGAGGTAAAAACACCAGGCCTCGTCAAATCCAGTCATTACAACTGTGCAAAACTCTTCATGTGTATTTCTCCCTTCTCATTCAGCTCTGCAAACAGTCAGTGTCCATCTCTGGCCTCATTCCAACGTCCAGCCTGCAGGTCTTCCAGCGGCGCTCCATGCTGCACCTGCCAGACAGCGCACTGGGCGAGGATCGCACCACCACCGCGGCCAACGGCATCAACCGCCGCGCTGCAACGCTTTACAACCAGTTCACCCCCAAGAGCGAGGAGAACAGGTGGGTTGTGAACTTCCTAAGTCCCAACACCAACACCAACATGAAGTCCACATTTGATTCACTCACAAACTGCTGCTGAGGGCCGGTCCGGTTTTGGAAGATGAGTCAGTGCTGTGGTATGCTGCGTGTCATGTTTGTGAGGATTGTCTGTACTCTGTTAAACTCTGGGTGTGTAATCTTACAATTACTGTGAGGTTAAAGTACAAACTCTTGGCTCAAATATCTGGATGTTTTCCTGAGTTGGACAAACGCTGATTGAAAAATACTCTACGTAAATTACATTGACCCTTCTTATCACATTTCTCCTTCCAAATAATGTTCACCAACATTTTATCATGTGCGATAAATCATTGATGAATCGTATAAGTTTCAACATGGCCAGATGTTTAAAGCAGAATTATTGAGACAGGAACATGAGCTGGACATAAGTGAAAAATGTTGGGAAAGATGAAATATAAGAGTTGAAACCTCCAGCATGGAACCCCCTGGTCTTTAATGTCACAGAGAAACACACACACCCGCTTTTGGCCTCTTTACATTGCAGGAACAAAATGTACAAACAGAGCTGGAGCCGAGCATATGGAGGAACAGTTGGTCTCCCTGCTGGAATGGGCTCCATATAAACAAACAAATAACTGTGGTAGAACTACAGTTCAAGATGACTGATAACACCCCTCATCTGTCATCCAGAGGTCGTCCAGTCGAAACACGCCTGCGTCTCACTGTGTGTTATTTCTTCAGGTCATACGAGGGGATCCTGTATAAACGCGGGGCGCTGCTGAAAGGATGGAAACCTCGCTGGTTCGTGTTGGACATCACAAAACACCAGGTGAGCGTGACCGCACCACACCTGGGCGACGCTTCAGCCTCGCCTCAAGTGACAGTGCCGCAGGTTTAACGTTCTAATGTCTCCACAGCTGAGGTACTACGACACAGGGGAGGACACTAACTGCAGGGGCCACATCGATCTGGCAGAGGTGGAGTCAGTGATGATCGCCGCGCCCACTATAGGAGCACCCAAACACATCAGTGAAAAGGCGTTCTTTGACGTGAGTATGCAGAAACACAAAGGTCCGGTGTTTTGCCGCTTTTGCATATTGACAACACGTTCACAGTCAGTGTTGAACAGAAACACTGTGGCTTTGCAGAACTGTAGGATACAGTCTAACGTATATTTGTAGGTAAAAACTGGGGCTGTTCCAGTAAAAATAGATCCAACATATAAAGATGAAATATTCCAACCATTTGACTTCCTGCCCATTTTCAGTTTGTGCATTAAAAAGCTCTGAGTGGAAAAAAAAAAGTTTAGATATTAAAAAGTATTCTCCTCTTGGCAGAGGTGGAAAGTCTGGTGCATCAAACATAGAATGAGACCAAGTGCGATAGAAAGATAACAGCAGATGTTATTTTGCACAGGACCATCTGGAAAAAGCTTTGTTGCAAACTGGTTCCTGAAGCCCAGGTGCTTTCAGGAAATACTTGGCATGTGATTGGATGAACCATCTGTCTATCACCATTCATCACGATTGCACAAGTCCATCTAGAGAAGAATGAGGGAACGTCTTTCCCATTGAGAAAACCCATCATTGATGTTCTTTGCTCTTTTAGTGAAGAAATACTCTCCAGCTCTGATGAAACTGATGCTATAGCAGCATCCACGCTAACCTCTGCAGCAGCTTCTGGCTGTCATCACGTCTAATACACGCAGGACGCTGTGTGGATCAGACCAATCACAAGGAAACAGCTTGAAGTAGAGATGGATTTCTCACAAGCCTTGCAAGCAAATAGAAACAGGTTCAGCAAATGAATACATGAAAACCCAATTAATACATGTGACTTAGATTGTCCACTGAAGAGACAGATCTGTGTGGACGGAGGAGGAGAAACTTTCCTCAAATTGATACAAAAAGCAGAAAGTGATTGAACTGACCACTTTTTCATTTAATTGCTGTTGTTTAGCTTTTTTTGTTTACTTTCAATATTTTCCTGAACTTTGGCCTAATTATTGAAAAATGAATCAATACTTCCCCGTCCCTTCACTCCACATTTAACTCTTGTGATCTCATGCCTCTCTAGCTGAAGACCAGCAAGCGAGTCTACAACTTCTGCGCCTCAGACGCGCCCAGCGCTCAGCTGTGGATGGACAAGATCCAGAACTGCATCTCTGACGCCTGAACACTGAGGTCATGTCACGAACATCACAGGCAGCGTGAGGTGGCGGAGACGTGACGACCCGCTCAACTCAGCTTTCACGTGTCTTTACATTTGGGGACCACCGAGAACAAAGTGCCTGGGAGCGGAGGATAATCCATCCAACCTCTCCGCCCGTGACTCAGCAGCCGATCAGGCCAGTTCCACACTCTGCCTCGGTGGGAGTCAACACGTTCGTATGTGCCGTCAGCTCCCTCCTCTGTGCCTGCGACAGGGATGAAGTGAAGATGAGCTGACGTTTTAGGGGACTGCACTACCAAGGAGATGTTATCCTGCTTAAGCTGTTAACTAGATCAAAGCAATATCACTGGCCAATCAAACTGTGGGTTCAATATTAGACTTTTAAAATATAAAGAAAATAACCTTTTAGAGAATTTCTATCAGATATTTTACTACGAGGACAGGTTATTGCTGCTTGAAAATGAACCGCCAAAAACTCAGATTTTAATGCACAACATCGAGAGGCAATTTGTTTGCACTTAGCTCTTAAGTATGCACTCCTTATCAAATATAGATTTTCTAACAGATGCAGACGAGGCTAAAGACATTACTTTACAATGTACATATGACGTTTCCTCATGACATGACAAAAGGAAACGAATTTGCACAGAGTTCAAAAGAGTTACCTGACATTT